GGTCAGGGCGAGAAGGAAGGAGGGGCTCCCGGGAAGGAGCCCCCCCTGAGGCTGGGCACCTCCTCGAGAGCGGGGGACAGCCAGTGCGAAGGTCCCGGCCCCGGCAGAGGAGCGAGAGTCGGGCAAGCGGGACAAAGAGCAGCGGCGAGTCTGCGGGACGTGGGGACCCACGTCCAAGGCCCGGTGCAGAGGCCGGAGGGGCGGACTAGGCAACTTGGGCAGGCGGCTGGGGTTCGCCAGGGCAGAGGAGGGGCCGGGGCCGGCGGGCCTGAGGCGCCGGAGCAGGCCTCTGAGTGAGGGGGGACAGCACAGCCGCTCACCAGTCAGCAGGTGCCCGCCCTGTTCTGTCCACCCGGCAAGGCGCGTCCTCGCCAGCCCCGGCCCAGCCCTGGCGGCGCTGGGGTGAACCAGGGCAGGTCTAGGCCCCCGGAATGGCTTTGCCTCCCTGGCACGCCCTCGGGCCCTCGACGGCCGACCCTGGAGTGTCTTTCCCTTCCAGTGTGCTACAGGGGTGCCGGGACCCAGCTAGTGAGAGTCAAAAACTCGGAGTGCTCGGCACCACCGGTCTCAAAAGGGTCTTCAGGCGGGATCCCGCCGCCCAGGCTGAGCGGCCGCCGCGCCCCTGGGCCACCTGTCCTTCAGCTGCCGCCACTTCAGGTTGACCACAGGCGAGCTGTCCCATGGCCCACGCTGGTCATTCGCATTCACGCGAGGCCCTGTCGCGCCTTTTCAGCCTCCTGGCCCCAGGAAAACAGAAAGAAAACATAAAAGCAGCTTTTTGCAGCGCGGGGGCCTCTTCTCCCCGAAAGCTCTCTCCGGTGTGGGGTGCGGCTCCCTCTTCTGCACGACTGTTGCCCCTTCCGCCCACTGTGGCGTCGAGCACTAAAGTGGCTTTGGGGGAGCTCTATTTCAGTTCAGCAGATTCCCGTGCAATTACTCTGTGAAGGACGCAGCCGGGCCCGGGCCTCCCGCCGGCTCGCTCTCGCTGCCACGGGTCTCCGGCGAAGGGCAGAAACTTTCCTATTGGGAATTCCCGGTGCTCCCCAGCACTGATTCTCACACCACACCCGTGTGACTCTGAGGTGGGGAGCCATGGGTGCATCACCCTGAGACCCTGGAGTTTGATGGGGCAGACACGCAAGTGACCCTGGACAGGGCCGGGGTTGGGGCGCCACCCGTGACTGCTGGAACTGAGGTGCCCTGTGTCCGTGGCTTATGCACCTGCAACGACACCTGCAGTTGGTCGAACTGTGAGTGGAGCCCACGGGTAGGAGTGGACCCAGTGAAGGCTGGGCGGAAGCAGAGGCCCTGAGCCGCTCGTGTCCAGAAGACCCAGGGGTGTTGGTGGGCTGCGTCCAGCACTTGGCCAGATCAGCCAACGTCCAGCAGTTGTCTGCCGTGGGCAGGAATTGTCCTGGGAGAACGGGTGAACATCGCTGAAATCGGAGCCTGCTCTTGAGGTCGCGGGCGGGTGGGCGG